TTCCACCGCCGTTTGCACTACTAATGAATCACGTTTCTGCCAAAGGCTGAAGTGACTGAAAAATTCAATTACACCGGCGAGCTTCGTTCCCAGCCTGGCGTGGGTGTAATGAAATACTCCGAACGCGGAATTCGCAAAATGAAAGGAGGAAGAAGCGAGGGTGGGGGAGAAGGGAGAAGAAATGGCGAATGCCGAATGAAAACAGAAATCGCAATTATCTCGTGACCCGATTTGTCCCCCGATCTGACAGGTAACGGCACCTTTTCTCTCTCTCTCGCTCCAGCAATGTTATTTATAATACAGTGGTGCATGTTATGGATGATCACACGTGACGTGCAGAAATACTTATTAATTGTGACAAACGCATACCTACGATGCAGAATGTTTGATAACAGGCACATATTTAATTTCATTAAAATATTTAGATGGATACCATAGCTTTGTTTTTATTGAAGTTTCATGCTCCAAGTTATGATTCTGTTAAAACTCGTGCGAAATTTTGAACTAGAATATAGAAACGCGTGACGATGAAATCAAATAAAGGACGATTATCGCCAAAAATGTCGGAATCGTCCGCAAGACGCGATATTTCAGCTATAAACGATAGCTTCTCAATTATTAGACATAACTCACCATGTCTCCGCTGATTATCGAGCTTATCGGAAAACTACGCGTATGTCTCATTTCTACGAACTTTTCTCTAGCTATTTTCCTTAACACGGGAATGGGGGAGGCGAAAGTGATTCGATTACAGGAAGACGCGTGATTGGAGCCTTCTGGCGACGTTTACGGGGTGAAGAGACTCTAATAGAAGGGACGAGAAAAGAGCTGCTCTGCCCTTCCGGCACGTCACCCGCGCGCTTCGTTGATAACGACGATTACAATCGATAGCGTCTAATATTTATACAGTTTCACCGATATATATGTATATATCAAGTTACGTAATCCTTATGTAACTGTATACAATTTTTCTGTAGCGTCTGTCCAGAATAACGGAATAACAAAATGAAGAGAGAATATTTCTTTCTCTCTCTTTTTCTGTATAGATATACAAGATTGCATTTTACAACAGCGTGTTAGGCGTAACTTTACGATATACATCCGTTCTTCGATATATCGCGCTGCATGTAACGCCATAATTACTCGAGAATGTAGCCCTGTAATTCAATTCAATGTTAATGATTCGATTGAATAATTACATTAATCGAATTCCACAAGTTCTCGTTCTATTCTGTTCTAGAAAATTGTACACAAACCAGTTACATAATTTTTACATAACTTTCTACAATTCTGAGATCTTTCTGAGCCATTAAAGAAGATCCAAAGTGGATCGAAATATTCGACGCTTTTCTGTGTATGTATTTCTCGAGAGAGAGACAATACTTACAGTTATATCATAAATACTTACGTACACTTACACAGCTGCGCTCGGGCTTTAATCGGGCCCTTCTCTTCTTATAACAATTCTACGATAATAATAATCGAGAAAATTGCGCCGATTATACAATTTTCGTGATCGATCGTAGTTAAAAGTCGAGGCGACGCGACCGATCCGCGGATCTCGCAACCCCTAATTCAAAGTCCAATACTTAAACGCTCCTTCTCACTCCTATGTACATTTCTCGTCACTTTATCGTGCATTATCGTAGCCGATTATCACCGATTATACGAACAGTCTATATATAACTAACAATATGCACTTATCGTCGTCGCTATCACTGTCGCTATCATCCTCCGCTTTTTTCAACCTTCTTCTCCTTCGTCACGATAGTCATCACACGATCGCGTTAATTACATTGTTGTTTACGTTTATCACGCTCTCTCGAGAGAATGGTAGCGGGCGGGCGGAAGGGGGGGAGGTGGAGATGCGAGCCGTAAAAAGGATGAGAGCCGACGCTCTCTCCCTCCCGCGCGATAATCGATATTTATTTATTATCGTAGTAACGGTCGTTGGCGCGCGCTTTATCGGCTCGTGTGTTCCAGCCACGCAGTATCGATTAACCACCGTGCACGGGCGAGAAATCGGGTCGTTCTTTCACGTGTGTGCCTGCATGTGTGTGTATGTGTCTGTCTGTCTGTCTCTCCCTTCCCTCTCTTCTCGCCCTTTCTGGAAAACCGACCAATTTTCGATGACAACATACGCGAAAATGAGCCTTGCTTTTGCGATCGCTCGTATGACAAACGCCGTTTGACGTAACGCGTCTCCGCGATTTATTCCGATCGCGCGCGAGCGCGTTATAGATTCATAACAAATCACGATACGCGGCATGATGACGCGTCCGAAATATACCGGCTGCCAGGATTAATTCGCCGTGATGCTTATCGCGCGAGCTATCGATCGAATTCGGAATCGCGCAAGAAAGAGAAAGAGAGG